GTCAATCCTTGCACTACCATGGTGTTGCAGTCAAAGTTAATAAGAAATACACGCTTGATGGGGATTTCATGATGTCACCATTTGTTGAGAATCGGTCCAGTATCATACACCCTTCATGCGGGTGCAATAATTTCCAACTGAGGTTCGGATATCACCTTCTATAGTCGGACCAATGAAACTTCAAGTATCAAAATACCAGTGCCAAATTGCTTAAGATGAGACTCTTTTTTCGTACTCTGAAAGATAAAGCTTGAGAGTGACTCGAAACATTACCGAGTAAGTATTACCACTTGAAGCATGTCCATTTTCCACCAAATTGATTTAGAAAACACTATGGGTTCGTTTGATTGCAAAAAATGGAATTTGGGTGGAAAGAAAATAAATTATATGGAATTGAATTGCCTAGAACTTGTTTTACTGAGAATTGTCAATTAATTGTGTTTGATTGGTATAATTTTTCACCTGAAAAATATTGAAATTTTGGATCTTTTGGTATTCGTTCGACTTTATTTTTCATTGAAATTGTCCATTAAAAGGATACAATTTGTTATAATTGGGGATATAATTTGTTTCCATTGCCAAAAAAATAATAAAAAAAAAGCTGCATAAAAAACCAATTCTCACCAAAGTGATAAGAATTGATTTACCTCAAAAAGCAAGAAAATGCGGCAAACCAAGAAAATGTGGGAAATCAATTACCTGGAAAATATTTCCTATCAAACATTCTAAAAAGTGGAAAATGGCAAAAAGTTTTCCACTTCCATGGAAACTTGCCATATCTAACATGGCCTAAATGTCCGTTTGATAAGCAAATATGAAAAGAAATTTCAATTCCATGTTGATTGGAAAATAAAAACCAGCCACTCATAGGAATTCGTTTTCCATGAAACAATGAAAATACATCTTAAAGTGATTGTACCTTGAAATTCGATTTTCATTTGGAATTTATTTTCCTCGAATATGACATTTTTCATAGAATTCGTTACAATCAAACGATGCCTAAAATATTTTCCACCATTCTTCTATTGCATTTGTTGTTAATTCGGATGTCTATATTTCCCTCTTCTAGCCCAATTTTATTAACCTTCTGTTCGGTACGAATTAAAATTTAAGTCAAAGTTAACAACGAATTTTAATCACATATTTTATGAGTCGCATAATTTTCAACTATACATTTCATCAATTTTTATCAAAATCTGTTAAAAAATTAACTCCCGTTTGGTTTGGATTAAAATTCAATTAAAATTTCAAGTCAAAGTCAACAAATAATTTTAACTATACATTTCATGGAACCCACAACTTTTCAACCACACATTTTATCAACTTTTATCAAAATTCATTAAAAATTTGATTTAAATCTTTACCAAATAGGGACTTAATTTTAAAGGATGAGCCGCATCCTTAACGGTTCTCACCTGCCCTGCCCTAGGCCTTTGTGAAAGAGACAAATCTCAGGTTATGCCTTCAAGGGTATAGGGTGGAAGGCTGCTTGTACACTTGCACTTACCCAATGACCAAATCCATATTTCAGGATTCAAACCCTTGACGCGACAGTTTCAAGTAAAGTTGGAGTTTTTTCACCTTCCCTTTTTACCACTTAGAGACGTGTCCTGAAGGCAACATGGACTTAATTTTAATCCCTATTAAACAAGGGCCGAGTCTAAGGTATGCTATAAGACATCATTTACATCAACTTTGAAAAATGTCCATGGTATGCAAAAGCGAACCCCCTCTAATACACATTATGGTGTAGGCTTAACCACTTGAGGTGACCTTATTCAGGATCACCTCCCCAGTGTATAATTGAAGTCACCAACCTTCGCCTTTAACTAGGTTCATATTAATTTCACTCTTAAATCCTGGCATGTGAAATTAGAAATGCTACTTCATATTTTTCTTATTGATTTTGTAAAAATCTTACAAAATACTATCTTATTAAACAAGCAATTTAGTCATTTCTTTGGTTTATTTTTCAATGGATGTCATCTCAAATTCATAACCTTTTTTTTTTCCACTATAAAAATTGGATTGAGAAAAGTGCAGCGGCCTGCAAATGCGTTACTCCCTTGCCGCAAATTATGATGTAGGCTCGACTACTTGGACTGACGTTAAGAGACATCTCTCCAAAAGTGCAATGGAATCACCAACATTGGCGATGGGCCGTATTAATCAGTCATTCATTCACCATGTCTCGGTAAGGATGTTTATTGTACTCTGAGAAATCTTACAAAATAAACAACAATAATGTGATTAATTACATAAATCATTTCTCAGTTATCGTCAAAGTCATTGTGAAAGCAGAGTTTGATAAGGCAACTTTTTTTGGAAAAAAGAAAAATGAATTCCATTTCCAACAAAATTGTCTTGTTTGATGGCAAAAAGTTGACTGGAATTAATTTTCTTGGGACTCAGCTCACGCCCCATCTTTCCTTGAAATTGTGGAAAATGATTTCCCACCATTGGGAAATCGTTTTTCAGGTTCTGACTTTAATTTTATTTTTCATTTATTTTTACAATGGAAAAAAATTTCATAGCCAAGCGTAAAAAAAAAATTTCACTTTCATGGACAATTTTGATGCAAACAAAGGTCAAACGAACACTAAATTTTGATGAAAAAATGATTTTTAGGAAATTTTTTTTTTTTTACTTTTTGACAATTGAAACAAATTTTATAACTAAGTGTGGAAAAAAATTTCACTTTAATGGACAATTTTGATGCAAACGAAGGCCAAACGAACACAAAATTTAAAAACTTTTCGGATGGAAAATTATATCAATCAAACACACTTAATTAACAATTCCCTGCAAAACAATTTATAGGCAATTACTTTTCCTGAAATTCATTTTCTTTCCACCAATTTTCCATCCTTACAATCAAACGGATCCTTATAGATTATTGGAAGTAAAATGCAAATAGCCATAATTCCTTGGGTAATACTACATGTACACACACTTTTACACCTCTCTCACATGGAGNATGGAGGGGGGGTCCACGATTATTTTATTATGTGTGGGCCCCATCCATGTGAGAGAGGTGTAAAAGATTGTATACACTTAGCATTATTCTAATTCCTTACATTATAAATTAGGAAAAATTTCAGCGTGATCCCCCAACTTATGGACCATTCTGCAACTTACGTCTCCACCCTACTTTTCTCGGCAGTATCAGTCCTAGCTTAATAATTTTGTAGGAACATTACTCCTCAATGCCTATATGTGTTATTTTGACTTTTAACTCTCCCTTATACACTATTATAATATTTATACCTCCATTATTTTAAAAATACATTTTTCTCTTTTTTCATTTCAACAACATATTCTTAGTGGTGGCAATCGAGCCGAGCGGCTAGTCGGCTCGGCTCGTACTGTAGCGGCCCACGAGCCGCTCGGGCTCGTCAAAAAACGAGCCAGAGCACGAGCCACGCAGGCCGGCTCGGTAGGCGAGCCACGCCTGCTGGCTCGTGTTTGCCGAGTGGCTCGTTTTTTTTTTTTTTTTAAATTTTTTTTTAA